GTTTATTTATTATGACTCATTTTGTACATTATTCACAGTTTATGTATTTATTAGTGTGTGTTAGTGTGTGCTTGAGACTCATTGTGTGTGATCTTGTATTTATTAATGACGTGACAAAAAACGTAAGTGGAGTAAATGGAGGGTACCGATCGACCTTCCCCAAAAGAAAAAGAAATAAAAAGACAAGAAAAAATAAATAGAATAAATAAGTAAATATATAAATGATAAAGAGAAAATAGAAATAAAAAGAATGAAATACTAAAGTAATGAATAAATAAATAAATAAAAATAAATAATAAAAATGAAATGATAAAAATAAATAAATAAATAAAAATAGAAATAGAAATAATAAAATAAAAGTTGAATATTTTATTAGGAATGAAACTCTCAGAAAACTGAAAAATAAACGGTGAAGATAAAATACAAAAAAAAAATCCGGATAGATAAGGGAAAAGATAAAAAAAGAACATGCGTGGGGTGCCGCGACACGACACTGTACACCATGTCACGGCAAGAACTTTCGTGTCGCGGAAAAAATTCCCGTGACACGGTGGGATTTCCCGTGTCACGGTACGCGTATTCTACAACGGTGTGGTTTACGCGTATGGAAAGATAATTTCTGAGTAGTTCCAAGCGCTTTTGCTATAAAATAGGACCAGTATATTCATGATATGCATAATTACGAAACACAATATAATTAGAATTTCATATTTCAATAATAATGTCTCAGAACTTTGATAATACATTGCGCGACTGGTCATATTCTTTGACCAATGCTGACAAAAGAGAGTTAGAATTGTTTCGTGTCAGGGGTTTACTAGCCTTGCGGCATGTAGCGATTGAACATGATTTTCTTAGGGCAGCATTACATTATTGGAGTCCAGAAACACATTGTTTTAAATTTGATTACGATAAAATATGTCCCTTGCCGGAGGAATTTGGTGCAATCTTTGGATTTCCTGCTAGAAATCTTATTGCCATGCCTACCCTGCGTGAATATAATTACCAAGATTTTGAACGCCATCTGAATCTAACAGATCCAGATTTAAATAGAATTGTGTGTGGTAATGAGGTAGACTTAGAAAGACTTGAAAATTTATATTTTAATCGCCCTATCTCTGAGTCTTATCATGTATATCATAGAAGGGCATATATTTTTTGCATGTTTAGCAAGCTTTTATTTGCAAACGGTAGGGTAGGACATGCTTGTCTAGCGTCTGTGCTTGAACATGTTGAACTGGGAGATCTCCTATGCCTACGTGCCTTGGAGAAACATTTCGTGGCCTTGACAAAGCAAAAGCTGACCGGAAAGCCATCAGGAAGGGCTCTCTGGTATTACTGCAGGTAAAAATACGCTCCGAGTAGCCCCCGTGACACAAAACAGGCACCGTGTCACGGTGGGTGTCTGCCGTGACACGGTGAAGTCTGCCGTGTCACGGGAATCTGCAAATTTTTTTAATTTTTATTTTTTTTTTATCAACGACTGATTTTTTTTTTTTTTTTTTGCAGATTTGGTTGATGGAACGTTTAGAACTATTCGAAGCCCCCGACGATATTGAAAACGAAAATTTCACCAAATGCCACTGAGCAATTTAAAAATTCACCAAATGCCATCGGACTTTTTAGAATTCACCAAATGCCACCCAGTTTTTAAAAAATTCACTCAGTGCCATTAATGACCAACGACCGTTAACTCCGTTAGTAATTAGGGGTTAATCATGACACGTGTCATGAAATAATTGGACCATTTATCTTAATTCATAAAAATTAAAAAAAAAACAAAAAAAGTTAAAAAAAAATACAAAAAATTAAAAAAAAAAACAAAAAAATTAAAAAAAAAAAAACCCAAAATTTTCCCAGCCACCCCGACCACCGCCAAACCCTAACCCCTCCCCTCATCTCGCCGGAAAACGGCCAGTCACCACCGGATGCACCAGCAATCGGCCGGCCGACCATGTAGCTCCCCACCTTACCCACCGCCGACCCCCAAAACCACCCACGCTACTCGTCCCTTTGCTACACCCACACGCACCACCACATCAGCCACGATTAGCACCACCCAGCTCCCTTCGCTGCTCCCACGCGCACCAATTGGTCTAAATCCTCAACCCCGATGCACCTCCACTTCACCGCCACCACTACAGAACCCATTTGGGTTTCGGTTCAACCTAGAAATCCCATTTTCTAGGGTTTCGGGTTTTCTGGGTTAAATCGATTTTTGGTGGTTTAAGGTGAGGGAATGGGGTTTATAGGAGCCGGAAAACAGGGGAGGGGGTGGTTTCGAGGCTGCGGTGGTCGGGAAGGGGTTGAATCAGAACCGTTGCTCGTGAAGGTGGAGGTTGGTTGTGGTTTTCGCGGGTTAAGGTTAGATTGGATGGGTGGCGAGTCAGGTAGGGGAGGTCAGAGTAACAATGGGTGGGGGTCGGCGACAGCGGGTGATCCCGACTCCGACAAGTCGGTTTCTGGGCTGGGGAGAGGTGAGTTGCGTGAAGGGAGGGGGAGAGGGAAAGGGAATGGTGGTGAAGGTGGTTCCGGTGGTGACTGGTCGTTTTCCGGCGAGATGAGGGGAGGGGCTAGGGTTTGGCGGTGTTGGGGGTGGCTGAGAAAATTTTGGGGTTTTTTTTTTGTTTTTTTTGTTTTTTTTGTTTTTAATTTTTTGTATTTTTTTAACTTTTTTTGTTTTTTTTTTAATTTTTATGAATTAAGATAAATGGTCCAATTATATCATGTCACGTGTCATGATTAACCTCTAATTACTAACGGAGTTAACGACCGTTGGTCATTAATGGCACTGGGTGAATTTTTTAAAAACTGGGTGGAATTTGGTGAATTCAGAAAAGTCCAATGGCACTTGGTGAATTTTTAAATTGCTCAGTGGCATTTGGTGAAATAGCCGTATTGAAAAATATGGCCCTAACGATCTAGTCCGCAGGAAAAAGAATTACTCTGTGAACATGTCGTATGAAGACTGGAAAAATTTCTTTGCAAAGAGGGAGTTTTCCATTCGTTGGGTGGTGCCTTGGTAGAGGCTTACTAGGATGGTTGGTACGAATGATACTCCATACTGTCGTGTTCCTAGTATCTCAAAACTGACTTTTTATTGCCCTTCTCGACTGATGCGGCAGTATGGACTTGAACAAGTAGTTCCACGCTATAACGATAGTCCTCGTGAAGTATCGGTGCATGAAAGTAACATTCACAAGTACGAGACTTATTGGATTGGAAGACCTTTGCGGACTGTTTCTGCAAGTGACCAAGCTCCTCCTCCTTTATCTAGTGCATACAAGGCATGGTTGAACCCTAGAAGTAGGAGGGAACGATTCGGATCACGCAAATCTGATGTGAAGAGTCGTCTTGGAAATAAGAAAGCACCTCCTAAAGATCGTCTAGGTCCAAGAACACAAGGGATTGAGTTTAAGACTCCTATAATGCCGAAAAGGAAGAATTATGTGAAAGGGAAGGGTAAAGAGAAGATGGTCTATAGAGAGAAGCAACCAAAGAATTTTAAGAAAGGTGAAAGTTTGACTAGGGGTGTGACGGTTCGGGCTACAAAAGACACATTAATGGTGAAGGCCGACCTAATTGAAAAAGAGAATGAGGTTCCTAAAGTGAAGAGGGATTAGATCAGTATTGCTTTGCTTTTATGATTTATTATTTTTATTTAAAATAAGGCGCATGATGCCAATAATTGTAGTCACATTTATTTCAATAATAATAGCATATTTATTTTAGCCTTAAATAAAAAATTACAATGACTTTTTTTACTTATTTATCCGAGTCAAGGAGTCGGACGCAATGGAAGAATGAAAATGAGTTCGCAAAGAATACGTCACTAAATAAAAAAAAAAAAAAAAAAATTGGAAAACTGAAATTCCACCATGCCACAGTGAAAAATCCCGTGACACGTTGGAAATTCCCGTGTCACGGCTTTTTTTTTTATTATTATTATTTTTTTTTTTTTTTTGCCAGGTCCACCGTGCCACAATGGAATTTCCCGTGTCGCGGCAAACCCCCCCCCCTTTTTTTTGTCGTGACGCAATGCTGAACTCATGCGTATACTTGATCGACAGAGGGAGGATTTTATTTTTTAAAGTGGTCGGGCCCCCTTGAGGGGTTGCCTACGTATCATTAAAAAGGAATCAAGCCAAACGTAGCTCTATTGGGTCATGAACCCATGCGACTAGACATAGAATTTCTTGAGTTGATCCAAATTGGTTAAATTGTGGAAACCGTTACCATCCATATCTACCAATTGTGCCGCTCCGCCAGACAAGATGGCTTTAACAATGTACGGGCTTGACCAATTCGATCTGAATTTTCCTCTTGGATCTAACACATTTTTACGAAGTACCTTAAGCACCAGGTCACCCTCTTTGATGTTCCTAGTCTTGACTTTTTTATTAAAATGTCGCGCCATACGCTGTTGGTAGGTTTGGACATGATGCAAAGCTGCCAAGCGTTTTTCATCAAGTAAGACTAGTTCATCATATCTTGCTCTAATCCAGTCGACTTCATCTAGTTGGCTTTCCAATGCGATTCGAAGAGAAGGGATTTCGAGTTCTATTGGTTGTACAGCTTCAACTCCATAGACCAAAGAGTACTACAAAATAAAACTAATGCAACGCTGAATAATTGTTGCACTAGCCTATAATAATGTTGCACAAAGAAAAATGCAACGTTTTATTTAGTGCTGCCTTAGGTCCCATTGCATTAGCCTATTGCAACATTTTATTGCACCAAATGTAAGCAAAATTTCTCAAGTGCAACGTTTTATTAATGCAACATTTTTATTAATCTGATGGAACACTTTTTATATTTGTGAATAACTGCAATGGCAACACTTTCTTTAGCAAATGCAATGTTTTGATAAATTTTGATGCCATAAATATGCAACGTTTTTCTGACGTATTGCATCACTTAGTTTTCAAATTTCCCTCCATATATTTGCAACACTTTGTGTATTCAAGGGCAACACTTTAGATAATTTAGTAATAAGAACAATAATTCTAATACTATAATTAAAGTTTAATTTTCTTTGTTTACACATTCATACAAATATTGTATTTAGCCCAAATTGTCAAATATTGTACATGGCAATTTACAGTACTTTGCATTAACATAAATAGTGTAATAATTTTTTTCATTACATCATCATTCAAAATGGTACTTTGTAATTTTTAGCAAAAGTAGTGCCAACAAGATATCTAATAATCATGTGATTTCCATCAACTCCATTTTATCCAATAGCGACACCATAATAATATAGGGCACCTGTGACAAACAATTCAGAATATAATCAATAATTTGATATAAATATAATATACCTAGCTATATTATTACATCATCACTTAAAATGTAATGACTTTTTTTGAAAATTTTCAATAGCAATAATTACAAAAAAAAATTATTTCAAATAAAGCATTTGATGTGGGCACTAAAATATATTCTTGAAAAATTAATTTGTTTTTTTTTTCAAAAAAAAAATAAAATAAAATAAAGGGTAAAAATTATAATACATGAATGGAAAATATTACATTTAAGATCTCCACATATCTCCACATATAATAAAAAATAAGTTCATTAAAAACATAAGTGACATTCAATAGTATAAAACTTGACTATGTAACATTCAATGACATTCAGCTTATTTATTCTTCTAGATTAGTATGTGTTTAGAGTATAAAACTTAAAATTAATAGTCAGTTTGATGTAGAGTTAGTTACTTTATACAAGGGATTTTTTTTTTAATGATTGATTTATACAAGGTTGTTATTAATCTAAGGGTTGACATGTTTACTTTATATGACAAAAGCAATACATTTATATAAAAAATGCTTACGTACACGTACCTTTTGTACAAAACCATTATGTTAGAAAATCTTTAACAACACTTGGTGGCAATTTGGAAATAAGCTTCTCTAGAACTTCTTGAACCATTGTCTCCTTTTGTTTTCCAAATTCTTCCATTTTCCTCACATGCTCTGCTTCAAGCTCTGTCTTTCGTTTCTCATACTCTTCTTCAAGCTCCTTTCTCATATCATTTAATTGTGATTTTTCAATTTCAGTAACTTCAGCTCTCAATGAATCTATAACCTCTCCTGGCACTACATAGGATACCCCAGAAGTTGAAGTCCTCTTTAAAATCTTATTAGTAACACCTTTACCATAAAGTCGTCGACGCCCAGCATACTCGTTACCCATAACAGCTAAATAAGCATCCTTAATGCCACTTCCATCTTCAGGGGGACGATAATTCTTCATTGCATCCTATAAAGTTTTATAATAATTGCACAAACATTACATACAATAAGGTATACATCAGCTCCAAATAAATGCATAAATACATAAGTAAAGGATGATGATTTAAATTAACTTACAATTTTTTTTTGTATCTTCATATGTGTCCGCACATGTTTTGTTTTCATCTCTCTTACGAGTACGCTCAAATAGTTGAGCTAAGGAAGGATACTCCTTATTAGGATCTTCATTTTTCTATTGAATGACAAATAAAAATAAATTCAGAGGTTGGTGCACGATGAATGAGTTCACAATAACTTTAAATAAATAAGCCAATTTCAGTAGCTATAATGACATAACATAGCCTATAAAAAGATAAAAAGTTAAATGATATTCTACCATTTCTTCCCGTATCCTAGCAAAACTTTTTGGCCCTGCATTGTGCATATTCTTCTGAGACTTGCAACGCATTTGATTTGCTGAAGAGCGTTCCTATGTATAAATTGAAAGCAGAGCATTACTTGAAAAGATATGTTGTTGATAATGTTAACTACTTAGCAGTATAAAATTAGCTACCTGCTCTATTCTCTTGTTCCATAAAGCTAACAATAGTTTGAAATCATCATCAGGAATACGTTTAGGTCAATTCTTCCATCTGGTTTTATTGTCCTTGTACTTATAGAAATGTTCTTTTTTAATCGACATTTATGTATCCTCCATGCAGCACCAATGGTTTTTAACACCCACTCCTTTCCTTCTTCAGTAAAATATTGTAGATAAAAATTTCATAATTTAAATGTATATATGAATTTATAATTTAAAAAGTAAAGTATAATAAAAGAAGTGTTAATAACTTACCAAAACATACTCCCACATCTTTTCTTTGTTGGGTACTGTAGGCGTCGTTTGAAGTGCGCCTACGTTAAAAGCATGTTGTGAATATGCTTGGCACTCATAGGAAGTGGGAATTGACATTACGAATAGGGACAAATAAAGTAGGGAGCCGCCAACAAGTTTTTAAGGAACTTGTAAACCGTTCACGGATCATAAAAAGGCAACCACGATAAGGGACAACGATAGGCAACAACGATTGACCCGTGAAGGTTACACTCCATTCATAATCCATGAGATTATTAACTCCATATGGTTCGGAACCACGAAAGGAGGATCGGGGATGATGGTACGAAGTGAGTCATGGAGTCACATTCGCCCGTATTGGCCTCTACTCGATTTTTATATTGAAAGGCATTCCTGTGATCTCAAAGGCATACAAACAATAATTCAATTCGCTCCAAACTATTATATAACTAAATTGGTTCAAAATTAATGCACACATAATTCTAAAAATTGGTGACCACTTCAATTAATAATAAGATTAAAAGGATCCTAAACCGATTGTCCAAATTATCTTATTAATCGTGATTTTCAATTACATATTCCCTTTAAACATGCAATATGGTGATCAAAATAAATAATAGAATCAATATTAATATAAAAACCAATTTGATCATAATTCCAACAATATAAAAATCGTTAGAAAAATAATAATAAAAATAAAAAGAGCATGATCCTTACTTTGAATCTGTTTGTTTGCAACTACAAAATAATAAACGAGTTAGTAACTTCAAGGAAATAATAAAACAACAATTAAATTAAATTAAATTAAATAAGGTTGATTTTGGAGCCAAACCCTCAAACGATTCTACCTTTCACGCCTTGGTTTAAGGACAGAACCTCGAGTAAAATATGGACTCCTTTGAGTGCTTGAAGAAGGAATTTTGAAGTAAAAAGGGTAGGCTAGTGTTTAGGTTAATAGCATAGAAGAGAGAAAAATAAGAATAAAAGAATTCTGGTTGCCCTATATATCAGAAATGAGGGGGTATTTAAAGGGAAATGTGCCGAGGGAGCACACGGAACCCTAAAATGACAAAAACCCCTAAAAAAGTATCCCGTGACACGGTCAGACTGTACCGTGACACGGTTAGACTGTACCGTCAGACGGTACAAGTTCCCATGACACGGTCAGTTTTGGAGTGACGCGGGAAATTTTCAGAAAACGAAACGGAAAACGCGTTAAGGGTTTACTCGGAAAAGACACGGAACTTCCCGTGTCACAGCAGACCTCCCGTGTCACGGGAAGTCCCACCGTCAGACGGGAACAGTTCCCATGACACGGTCAAGCTGTACCGTGACAAGGTCAGTTCCAGTCCATTTTTCCCTTTTAAATTCATTTTGAACCCTAATTTCTTTCGGCTTTTTAAGTGTCGATTGATAATTTCGGGTTTTTTTCTGACTTTTATTATTCGGCCTAAAATAAGAAAATAATAAAATAAAAATAAATAAAATATTTGGGCCAAAAATAAATAATAAAATAAAAAGGTTTGGGCTTAAAATTAATTAACAAGTTAAAACTATGCTTTTACCAAACACCAAGACTGATCCATGGATCTTTCAAAAATATGGATTTAATAAAATACGACTTTTTAAGCACTCTCGGGATTAGATACTAAACCTGACCAATAGTGGCGGTGAAAGGTTATTTATCATCGGGTTTGATTTTGGGGAGACATTTTTAGGTGTCTACAGGTACATAACGCCAAGATTTATATATCAATGGTGCAGAACCATAATCACCAGCAATTTTACCCAAGAATCGTGAAAACTCGCCTGGTGTATCTTTTTCAAATGTAACAGGTCCAATAGGTTGTCCAAACTCATTCAAAATAACGGCTTCACGTTTTTTAAAAGATCGCATATGCACTTTATGCATCATAGTAGGTCCTCTTCTATTCGCATCTGCATTGTCCATACTCATAAATCATATAATGTTAACTGAATTTGCAATGAATTACATGTTAACTACTAAGCTAAATTAACCTTTTGATTCTGGCTCATTGTTTGGGACTTCATGAGAGTCAATTCTACTATTCTCAGATTCATTACTTCCAGATAAGATGTCATGGTCAGCACCATTGCTTTCTTCATGGTTGTCACTTCCTTCTGTTTCACATTCTCCTTCCATTTCTTGTTCTGTGTCAGTTTCAATTCCAAGTACAGGCCCTTCTTCATCACTCTCATTCGCACCAACTTTTCACTCACTTTAAGCCATAAAAAACATGAAAACCTATGAGTTAGGCTGAATTTCACTTAAGTTCATCTTAATTAAAAAATCAGAAAATTCAAACAACTTTTTTACCTGCTTGCATATTAACATGGGGTACTGAATTCTCTTGCGAAAGCTCTTCACGAAGTTGATTTTGTGAAGCTTTTTTCTTTAAAATCAAATCAGCTACGCTAGGTGCATTGTTCCTGCCACGATCACCTCGTCTTTGTTGTCTAGTAATCGTCGCGTATTTCTTCATCATCATAGGTGGCAGATACTTGTGGGATCGAAATTTTCCTTGAGTGACCTGATAAGAGGTTAATAAAGTAAACTGATCATTTCCTAATTAAGAATAGGACATATAATATAAAGAAAAAACTAAGTAACTTTTATGGAAGCTTACCACCTTTTTGGAGTCATGACACTTTCTTCTTCTTGATTTTCTTCATTAATCAAATCCAACTCAGGCATATAATCTCCATCTTCCTCATTATTATGAATAGGCTTGAGTCTTTTTTTTTCTCTTTTTTTGTTATTTCCATTATCCACTAAACTTGTCAATGACTTGACAATATCTTTTATTCCTGATTGCATCAACCTTGCTTTATTTTCTTGAACTCTTAACATTCTACTCCTTTCGTACGGGTTCATATTTTTCTCCATGGATCGCTCCTTGCTTCTTTTACCTATTCAAAATCTATACAAGATACTAGATTCAGTCATTCAGGTCAAATGATATCATTAGAGTATTCTAACAAACTTAAATTTAGGAAATAACATAGGCATTTTAAAAAGCTAGCATACCAAAAGCTTTCCTACCTTTAAGTAAAACAATAAAATAAATATATATATATATATACATATATACATTCAGTTGATATCATATATTATTCAACAACATCCTCATCGTCATCTTCAGCTCGCATCCAATCCCACAATGTGTCATCATAATCTGAATCATCATGAATTTGCTCACCTATACCATCATCAAGATCATCTAAAGTTGCTTTAGCATTCATCATTGTGGGTGCTAAATCTTCCCTTGACAAATTATTAATTTCATCTCCACTTTTTCCCGAAGAATCCAATGAATCTAAACCACCATCACAAGGTTCACTCCAATAAAATTTTCAGCATCCACAATGTCTCCCTCGTTATCAAAAAAATCTCTCGGGACTACATTCATAACATAATTCAAGCAATGTTTAACAGGGTCTGGTTCATACCAAACTTGATGCACTTGAGAAGGCATAACAAAAGGATCATTAACAGAACAAAACTTGTTCATATTTACACAAGGAAGTCCATATTCATCCTTTTCCACCTGATACCACTCACATCGAAACAAAACAACATGAAACTTTGACCAATAATTCAACTCAATTATTTCTAATATGGAACCATAGTAACATTTCCCATGATGGGATTTTTATCCCTAGAACTTGCAAAGCTTGGAGTTAATGCTGTCAAGCAAACACCGCTATTCTGAGTTTTACATCTACCATCACGTGATTTGGTGTAAAATCTGTACCCATTAGCATAAAATCCTGTATATCTTCTTGCTGTAGCACTAGGACCCTTAGCTAGCCAAAAAATATGATCTGGGACATTATTACTCATTATTACTTTAGCTTTTAACCACTTAGCAAATTCATGGCTGTGGTCTTGTGCTTGCGCCCTTGATATAGACTTCATGTTCACTACATACAAAAGTATATTTTTTGTTAAAACAATCAACATTATATTTATAGTTAAATATTATCAGGGTGGTTAAGGGAGTGACTTTAACGCACTGGATATACTCCTTAAGATCTTCATTGTCTGAGTTAAACAATGCGTAGCGATGCGCTTGTTCACTAGATTGGGCATCTAGAGTGAATAACTTGCCTTTCCCTCGCCTTTTTCCACCTAGTGGATGACCCACATTTTTGAAAATAAGAGCGTTTGAATCAGCATTGTTGAACACAGCATCAGAGTCGTCTGAATATTTATTAAGTCTGGTCTTTACTCCATCACCCATATATCGTGACAAAAATACCAAAATTCATCCAGCCAATACCCTTCTGCAATAGAACCCTCTGTATGGCCTCGATTGCGAACATATGACTTCAATCGCCATAAAAATCTTTCAATGAAATACATGATTCACCCATGTACTGGACCTCCAAGTTTAATTTGATCCACTAAGTGGACAGGAAGATGCACCATAATGTCAAAAAATGATGGTACAAATATCCTTTCAAATTCACAAATAGTGTAATATAATGTGAGCATCATGACTTTTATAGCCACTAACTTTTCTTTCAGAAGAACGCACACATCGAGCTATATTCGATGCACACCCATACGGTAGTTTTGCTTGCTTTAAGGCTCGACAAAAGATGTCTTTTTCCTCAGAAGACATAGAAAAACATGCTTTTCTATAGAAAACATGCTTACCATCAGCTGAAAGTTGAGGATGCAATTCTTTCTGGAATCCCAGCTCTAAAAGATCAAATCTACATGATCCTTGGACTTTCCCTTGATATCCAACAATGTCCCAATCACATTATCACAAATATTTTTCTTAATATGCATCACATCAAGATTGTGCGGACATAAATTATGCTGCCAATATGGTAAGTCAAACAAAATTGGCCTTTTCTTCCAATGAAATTCTGGGTCATTTCTCTTCTTTTGAGTTTTCCCAAACAAGTTAACATAATCAAAGAGTTCTCTGTAAACCTCAACACCTGTTAAAGGTTTTGGAGGAGGCCTCTTCTCAACTTTCCCATTAAAGCCCTTCTTATCGTGCCGCCAAGGGTGATTTGCTCTTAAAAATTTTCAAGTGTCCATATAGCATATCTTCTTGCTATTTTTCAAGGA